ATGACCTGGCTCTGCTATCGAGTAGTAACAGGAGTCTGCATCCGTTAGCCCACTGCCTGCGTGGGAGGTAGCTAGCTGCCTGCTCCATATAAAGACAGTTGCCCTTTCTGCTATTACACATTTTTGAGGAACGAAGAGAAAATCCAGGGTGCCTTTCCCACTCCCCAGGTTGTGGTCTGGCAGTGCTTGTTTGGCTGGCATTGATAGCAGTGCATATTGCTTAAGGAACATATGGGGTAGTGAGCAATGCGCCCTCTTTCCTCTCCCGTAAAAGTTTGTTTAAAAAAAAAAATGTTTAAAATACCAGCAAGATTGTGTCTGTTCTGTTCCTCCTGGAATACTCTGTGCCCAGCAGGAAAACTGCCTGAATTATGAGCTCCCAGTTATCAAGGAAATGAAATCTGTTTCACTGAAAAGGGTTTCATTCAGACTCAGAAACTTGCATCATTTTGTTAACTCAAATACTCTCTTTGCAAGATGGCCCACTTCAGTCCTACCCCTTGGAGTCGAGGGATTTAAATGATTACCAATCCACCTCTCTGGATCCTTTGCAGGAAGGCTCCAAACCAGAACAGATTACTTTCAAGTAGGGGAAAACCACCCACCAAACACTTGCACAAATTCAGAGTTTCACTGTAAACCATCAAGAGAAGAGGACACAGCTTTTCCTTTACCTTTATCAAAACGCTTTAAGTTTTCCTTTGCTCCACTTGAGAGTAGAGGGAGAGAACTGTCACAGCAGGAAGCTGGGAGAAGAGTGGCTGGTATTGTAGGGGACTAAAATGTTTGCTAGGGTTAGGCAGAGATTGTTTTATAAAGACCAACTAAAGATCTTCCTCCAGTTACTCATTTTACTTTTTGCTGTTGTAATGTCACTAGCTTTCCAGCATGGAGCCCTTCTGAACTCCACGAAATATTAGCTTAAAGTCTGCTTTCCTCCTCATTTGGCTGGAACACAAACTTGGTGACCCCTACACCCCACAGGGATCTTGCCCAGGATTTTTAGGGGTAATGGGCAAGTTGATTAGGAAAGGGCAGGTGATGCCAGCTGGGGCTGACAACTGTGGGTCTCCCTCTTACCTGGCAGGCATGCTGCGTTATTATTTGGAGGGTAAGTGATGAGGTTCAGGAAGAGAAGGAAAGGGAAGTTCTGTCTCATTTTTGCTCACCTTGACCACCTTATATTCACATTGTTGCCAGTCACTGTACAATGAAGTTGAGCAGTCCCTCCCTCAGGTACCGTGATGCTTGGCAGAAGACCAGTGATCCTCAGCTCTCCTAGACCAGAAGAAAAATCATCACTAGCAGGAAGACAATACTATGCTGCCTCATGGGAAAAGTCCAACGTATGCTATGATGAGCTATGAGCCCCTAGGCTTTGAAACAGCATGTTTGGAGCTATGACGCTGTTGCTATGGGGAATGTGGAGCTCCTAAGGGCTTTGGCCTAAGCAAGGGCAAGTAGCAGAGGCCTCAAAGAGCTTTTTCCTCCACCTGGACACAAGCACATCACATGCACAGAAGAAGCATCTCCTTAGTTCCTCTTGCTTCTATATCCATTCCACACCAGTGTCCCAGAAAGAAGGCCCTGAGAGTCACTCTTACGGTGCTATTAGTCCCTCTTCCCAGCTGCCTGGAGCACCAAGATCTACTAGGCACACACAGATTACTATTGGCAAAACCAACTCATTCTTCCATTGCCCTCAAGCTGCCCGTTAAACATTAGGTATGAAGCCAAGAGGCATGGCCAGACAAGACGCCCACGCTGCCCGGCCCTCCCTGTTTCCCTGTACGCACACACACGTGTGTGTAGACATGCCATGCACGCCTCCACCCATCCAGTACCTAGAGGTCGGAATAGGACCTGGCGCCGGTCCTGGTCACGTCCATTCGAGGCAATGCAGGTGAAGAAGCCAACGTCTTCAGAGCTGACCCGGCTGATAACCAGGGCCCCGTCTGACTGCTGCCTGTGTCTGGGGAACAAAACCAGAGGGCCCCTCAGCCTGTGCTTGGGTCAGAACGGGACTCCAGCCACCAGAGCTGAAGCTGAGCCTCATGCACAACTTTGGAGTAACGCTGAGCAAAGGTTTAGCAGCAGCTCAGTTCAACCTGTAATGCAACCCCTTGTCCCCAAAATCCCAGCACTGGTGCTGTAGGCTCTGGAAAAGCTCACTGCTAGAGCAGGCTTCTGGGAGCAGAGGGTGAGGGGAGCTGCAGGAGAGCAGCACCAGTAGCTATGGAAGTTCACTTGCAGGCACCCTGATCTCTCTCTTTGCTGTGAACCTCTGCCCCGGCTCACACACCAGCTGGTTTTTGGCAAATTTGCTTGCTGTGTGTTCCCTTTCTGCTCATCTTGTAGATGAACAAATTCCAGTGTTAGCTCACTTGTAGACCCTGTATCACAGCTGTTCACTGGAGGGTTCAGTGTTCAGACTTTGACCCGTGAGCGAGGCTCGGGCCGTCAGGCAGCACAGCCTGGCCCAAAGGGAGGAAGCTGGCCAGCATAAGGCAGGACAGGCCCTAGCTGCATGGCCAGCAGCTCCTTGCTCTCAGGGACAAGACAGGGAAGGCAAAGCAGGGCAAGGCAAGGCGGAGGCTCCCCTCCGCATGAACCTGCCTGTGGGGTACGGTGGAGCCAGCTGGGGGCTCACCTGGGAGAGGAGAGGGGCTGCCCGTCTTTCTGCCACTCAATGGTGAGAGCCGGCGATGCTTCCACTGTGCAGGGCAGTCTGACTCGCTCCCCGACGTTGGCCTCCACTACTGAGGGCTCGCTCTTATCCATTCTCAACCTGCAAAGTCCACAAGCACAGCAAAAGATGCAGACACTTCCTCGTCCAGCATTTGACCTTCAGCACAAGGCTTTTTTAATCACAAGCCTTACTTTTTGCCTCTAATGGGAAAGGGAGGTCTCTGCACTCCTGTCAGAGCTCTGATACTTGCCATTACCAGCATTCACCATTCAGAAAAGAGCAGCCTCCATCAAATCCTGCTCCAGTTGAGGACAGCTTGGTGCTGCACTCCTGACAGCCAGCTTAACCCTTTAGAGACAGCAACCCTGTTTCTTATAGCATCCCTCTGGATCACAGCCTAGGAAGCCTTACAACGTGAGCACACGGCAAATGGTACCAAGTCCTGAACAGAGCACCAAGCAAGCTTCCCCCAAGGTGCTTGTCTGGCACACAGAAACGAGCAGGTGTTTTTGGGGGTGTGAAGAGCCTGTTGCAATCACTTGACTGCACGCAAGGCCCAGGAGCTGGCCATCCACTTCATGCAGCGGAAAGGCTGAGGTCAGGCTCTCACCACTCATCTCCTCATGCTCTTTGCTCTCAATAACTATAGCTAAACACCATTTAGAACCATGATGTTCCCAGAGTCAACTAAAACATCACGTCCCCACCCCCGTTCTCTGACCTGAATACTTGATCTCAAAAAACAAAACCAAAGAGCCTTAATACAATGCTCTTAATTCAATGAATCACTTCTTTCTGCTTTTAAGCAGAAGCAGCTAAGGAGGTTGGTGGGGAGTTCAGCAAATTAGCTGGGTTTTAGGTTGTAAACTCAAAAGAAGGGAGGGATCAGATCATGGTCCCATTTAATCTGGAGCCCTAACATGCTGCATTTAAGGCAAAAATAATTTGTACTCTTTTATTTCTGTGGGGTCTAGGAGCATCAAAGAAACGTGCAAGAAGCTACAAAATATGCCACCCAGTATGTGAGGAGACAGTTTTGAGTCAAACTGGTTTGTTCACAAAATATTTAAAATAAATAGACAGGGGCTAAAGTAACTGGAGCTTTTTTTAATATACACATGTCAATTTTGTGCTAGTTAACCACTTCCTGTTTGCTTTGGTTTTTTTCCAGAACAGGCTCCTCTTTCTGCCTACACTAACTTGAACAGCTAAGGATGCTTGAACCTAGCCCCTTTGCTGTCAGCCTCCCTGCACGTCTTTGCTCAGAATACGCTTCTTTCAAGAGACCCTCAGGAAGACAGAAGACAGTGTGTGACTGGGATCTTTGCCCATTCCTGCGGTCA